CGGCTTCCCCCACAGGTGTCTACAGCCTGGGGAAGGAGGCGCTGCTCGTGGACCTGGCGCTGGAGTTCAGCACCTGGGTCGTGGTGAGTCCCTGGCGTCTGGAGCAGATGCAGCTGCTGGAACTGCCCGACGTCTTCACTGCTGAGGAGGGGGCCGGTTGGATCCGTGCCGTGGACATCGCTGAGATCCGCTGGGAGACCCTCGTCCGCTGGAACTTGCAGCACCCCACCATCGCCATCCTCCCCACCGGCAGGCCCGTGAAGGTCACCCACCCCAAAATCTACCCTATTCCCTACTCTGACCATTCGTCCTTTGAGGAGCTGTGTGAGTTTGTGGAGTGGCTGAAACCCTGCTCGGTCATCCCAATCGTGCGAGACAGCAGGTGCCAGTTTTACTTTGAAAAATATCTGTGTACTGACCAACAGACTCCTCCTGACCTCAAAATCCCTGAGCCTGTGCAAGAGTTTGCCCAGCAGAGAAGGCAAGAGAAAGGACAGCAACCTGTGCATCCACTGAAAAGAGCTGTCCGGCATTCTGTGTCTCGAGGAGTTGTTTTTGAGTCCCCAGACAAATACACTGACAAGTGTGAAGAGTTTGGGGATATTAAGGTTCCTCAGCAGAACTGTGAGTCGGATTTTTGCTCCAAAGAAGGCTGTACTTGTCCTCAGTCGTGCCAGGAGAAAGAGGAGGAAACCAACAGCCACAGTCCCCAGAGCCAGTGTAGATCAGCCCAGCTCAGTGGAGGGCAGGTAGCAGTAGCAGTATCAACTAGCCCTGCTAGCAATTCACTGGCTTCTGAGGAGGACGTGCCAAGTGGATTGGCAGAGCAGTATTTACTCACGCCTTTAAACACCCTAAAGCAGAATTCCTTAGAGAAATTTGACAAGCTAGTAGAAGAATTCTTGAAGAGGGAGGAAGTATCCTGAAATTTGTGACACTTGCAAAGGCAGTTGATAACAGTGATTCTAACAGTCTTACTACTGCATTCCATTCTTGGCATTTCTCATAACAAGAATGCTTAACTATGAGGCTGTATTTTCTTTTATTAGCAGAGAAGGCAGCAACTTGAACTCATTTGTATATGTTAGGGTTTTTATTTATTTTGTCATTGTTTAAATCTTTCATAGCTTCAGACTACACTCAGGCAGTGCAGTCCTACTACCAGCATGCCCTATATCTACTTTTTAGTCTTTTATTGCAAAGCTGTAACTGGATTGATTCAAATTGAGCAGTAGAGGGTGTGAGCTGTCTGCAGCTGAACTAATGGCTTTGAATGTCAGGAGAGAAGCAAAAGGGAATCTGAGAGCCTAATGTTCCTCTTTATTTATGTAATCTCATTGACAATGAGCAGTGCATTCCAAGATGCAGATCATACCAAGATGCATTGCCAATATTATGCATAGAACCATGTTTCAAAAACATGCTTAAAGAAATCTATAAAAGGAAGTGCCTTTAAATCTATTAATGAATTACTCACTACCTCCAAACACAGTACTGCTTTCGCTTCTTGCCAAATGCAGCTGGCTGCAGCCCTGCTCTTCTGCAAGCATCACCTTAATGTTAACTATAAATGCTCTTTCAGGTCACAAGCCAGGAAAGTAGGAATTATTGATTCCACCTTTCCTTCCTGTTTTCCACCTTTCAGAATGGCTTTCTATATCCTCTGCAGTCTCTGTGCTCAAGTCGGCATGTTTAAATCTTTCTGCTGGACTGCAAAATGCTTCTGGTAACTGTAAGCATTCTGACAGGTTTTGCTTTCCCGTGGAGTGCCTGTACTTTCCAGCCAATAGCAAATGGGATAGGAGCTAATGAAACATCTACTTACTGTTGCAAAGTGTGAAGTTTTGTAGCATTGTTTCGAAGTGTTGGAATATTGGCAGAACTGGCAAAACTGACTCTTTTTAGTTGGAAGGTCAGGCACTTCCCCACTGCAGGTCAGCTGCAGAGAGCCACAGCCTGCCTGTCATAAACGGAAAGTGCCTGTATGTGACTAGGAAGTGAAAACACTGTAGTTATTCTTGCCAAACTGCACTGGAAACATCACAAACTGGTTCTCCACAGGGTCACAATGGCAGCACTAGAGTGGAAACATCCCCGGGCTCTTTCCTGGAGCACCAAGCCAGCTTGTTACTCAACTTTTCTAACCTTCGTGCCACTACTTTTTTCTCACCAAATGTTTCACGTGCTCCTGATCAAGATTCAAATCTCTCCTGCATGTAGCGCCATGCAAGATCTCTGAGGGCCAGTCAGCTAGACTGAATTCCCTGAACCAAGCCAAGCGAGGAAGTGTTTGCTCTTTAAGTGAAGCTAGGGCTCATGAAAAACAGAGGTGCCTGTAGATGCAGTAGCCACACCTGTTAAAAACAAGGCTGTACTGAACTGTAATCATGACAGCCCGTGTGAGTATGTTTGGAAAGCTGCCTGGTAAACATGAGTCCTAGGTCCCAGCCCTGTGCCTTCCTGGGTACTGGAGAATTAATGCCCTAATATCAGCAAAGCCTCTTAATAAGAATGCTGATTGCTGCCTACCAATGAGACATTGGAAAGGTTGGAGCAGTGGTCTGCATTTCTCCTTAGAAATACACTTCTTCAAAAGTCATAGAATGGGCAGCTTCAGCCTTTTGCCGTGGTCTTTACATCCTATTTTACGGAGATTTGTGTGGACTGTTTGCCAGTCAAAATTAAACTGCAGAGCTCCATCATCTCAATATGAGGAGAGGCACCTGCATCTTTGGTGACACCTGAGACTGCCAGTAGGATCATTGCCCCGCACTGGCAGTATCTTCTCTGCTGCTGGCTGCCTTGGAGACACTGGCTGTATTTTAACATTGTTGAAATTTAAGTGACTCATTTGACAGGTGAGTGAAACAGAGTCTGAACTCCCAGATTCCAAGACCTGCTCTTGGCTTGCAGGCCCAGAGTGAATGCTTGCGTTCTGAGTCACTGCTACATTTAGGTATGTTGCTAATGATGTTCTGTGGCATTCAGTCTTTTCTATTCTCATCTTCTCTAAATGAAGTAGACAATTTCCAGGTGAACCTTTGAGCAAAATGGCATAGTAAGAGTGTTAATGCTTTCCAGAGGCCTGAAAACAGAGCTTTTTCCGGTCACACAAACAAAACTGGAAATTGTGAAGACTTCAAAGGCTGTGAATCTGCTCCATGTATCTGAATACCAAGTCAAAACTGCAGAAGGAATGCTGGATTCTGGCACTGGAGCATAAAAAGTAATTCCTGCCCTTTCAGAAGGAAATCATCAAATTATTTAGAATCAGGGAGTAGTGAAACTTCTCCATAGATTTAAGAGAAAATAAAAGCAGGGGAGTCTTGGCTAACAGTCAGCCTGGAGACCCTTGTTTCAGCTCAGCTGGTGTGTGAGGCATTTGAGTGCCAAACATGTTTCTTTGTGTTAAGACATAAATACTTCAATAATTGATTATTCTAAAATACTGGCAAACAAAGTGACCCGTGGCAGAGCTCTGGGATTTGTGGGGCTCTGGAGGCTCCTGGCAATAAAGAGCTGGCCACTCACAGGCCTTGTTCTGCCTCATGTTTGCCTCCACAACTTCCCTCTGCGCCTGCCACCAGTCTGGCTTACAGGAAACTGTTACTGCAGTCAAAGAGCCCCTACACCAGGTCTGAACATGCTGCTGTTTGCCCTACTGCATGAAGCTCTGTCAACATTGCTGCCACGGGCAGGTTTTGTTCACAGCAGTGACAACGCGAAGCTGTAGCCAGGTGTTGCTTGGCTATGGAATATCTAGCACTGTGTGCATAGAAACTGTTATAATCATCCCTGTAAGAAGGCCTGGGAACAACAACAACAACAACAAAAAAGGGTGCTCTGACCAAAGCCCTTCCAAAATATGCAACTTGAGCTGCTTATCTGTGTTCCCCAGCTGGACAAGTCCCAGTGGGACAAAGCAACTCGCCCAAGGTCTCATAGAGCCTACAGAGGAGCTAGGATAGAGCTGAGTTCCCTTTGGCAAGTGCTTTAATCACAAGGTTGTCTATTCAGCTTTTCAGCACTTTTAACGCACTGTGATCAGATACTAGCCTGTCATCAGGGTGGGGCAGGCTCATGGTGCTGGAATTGGGAGCTGTCTGCTGAGCTCCGTCCATGTACTTGCCAGGCCAGTCAGTACCCTGTACAACAGCTCGGATGCTCTAGCTTCTCTATGACTGTGTGGAAAACCATGAAGGAATGCCCTAGCTCTCCCGTGGAGAGAAAGAAACACACTCTTAATGAATTTAGGTCCCCAGCAGGGACAGAGGTAGCACTTACATAGCTTGCGTGCTCCGCATTAAGTAGTCACAATGTAGCTTTGTAGGTAACGCCCTAGAGCTCTCTTCTCAGCAGTGTTTAGAGCTCTGCTTCCCACAGCACAAGGCCAAGGTGCTCATTACCTCCCTTTTGTTCTTTCTGCTGCAGACTCATCACCCATTTCTGTACCAGAAATTTTCTTGTTACTATTTTCTAGATATAAAGATTGTGTAATGGGGAAAATGTCCTTTTCTTGTTCACCAATAAAATTTATTCAGGGAGTTTACATAATTTTCAGTGCCACATGTCAGTGCTTTACACTCGTGCAAAATTAATTTCAAACCTCAGTTGTCTGGCTTTGTGCTCTTTTGGATTATTCCAGAGAAAGCAATTGAATGTAGAGAAAAAGCAGAGCCACGCCAATGTCACTTGGGGTGCAGCCTTCACAGGAGCTGCAGTCTGGCTGTTGCTTTTTTCTGCACATTTGCTCTTCCTTCTGCCAGATTTGGGATGTCGTTGCTTAGGTTGCTACACCCATGGCCACACACCGGCTCCAGCGAAGCAGCCATGAGTTTGCAGTAACTTGAGACCAATCTTGCTCAACAGCAGCCCTGTTGGCCCAGAGAGTCTGGGGCTCTGTGAGCAGCTGCCCAAGAAGATAAGAGTATTTTCACCGCGTGCACATGCTCCACTCACATCAGCGACACAGCAGGCGGGACCATGCCCCTTCTCTGGGCACTACTGCCAGGAAAGGCGGGAAGCAGAGGGCCGAGGCCATCTGCAAGCCGTGTTCATCCCCCTCACCAGGGAGGAACTGCAAAGTCACGCGGGAGCGGAGCGGGGAGAACCTGGCAACGTCGGTGCTCGCCCCGCTCAGGGGGCCCGTGCCGGAACCGCGGGGCCTCCCCCGGCTGCAGGAGCCCGCGCC